TTTTTATAATTAAAGCAGAAAAAAGTAATAAATTTGCAGTTTGTACACATATGAGGAAAAAAACAAACACTTTGGTGTTTTGGTTTGGTGATATAAATTCCATCAAGGAATGCTTGGACTTTGTTTTACTTAAAATCGTTGAACTTTCACCACAAAATTAAACAAATGCTGAAGATAAATGGCTAAAGTGGCAATGATTTCTTTTAATTTTTACTCTGATCCTTGCTGTGACGCGTGACCTTGCCCCTACAACAGGCTTTGAGACTCAAATCCTGGAAACTGGAAGAAAAACTGCAGGTAAATATTCTGAACGCATCATTTAGTACCAGTGACGGCGTCTGCTGTGCACGGTGGAGGCGTTTTGCATTACATAGTGCAGACATATTGTTCATTTGTTCATTTATAACGTAGGAAAAGGTGGCAGAGGATCGATAAATGTGAGGCTGAACATTTGCATGCGTTAACTGGAGCTCTGATATACAGCTGCTTCTGTTCCTGACTCCCGGTGATTGCAGAGCAGAAGGCGTGGTGACCTGTTCACAACCCTTTAAAATGACAGCAGCACATTTCTCTCTTCCTTGCTGTACTTCTCACTATCTCTCTTCTTCCACATCTTTTTCGTGCCCCCACCCCTTTGCAGGAGGGCAGCTGTGACTGATTGATGTACGCTGGTGTGCTCAGCGACATAAATATTAATCACGGGGCTCATTCTTTTCCACGGGCTCACCTGGACATCCCGAGAACAGATTCAGTTTTTTTCCCCTCTCTGGTGGTTCTGCAGGCCACACACTGTACATCGCTCCAACAACAGTTTTCTTGTTGAGTAAAAATTTATAGTGATCATAAAAATCCCTCATGAGCTGTACTGAACGAGAGACAAAATGTCAGCTGCTCTGTCAATGTCATGTGTTTTATGTGACAAGCTTAGATTAAGCTTCTTGACTTTGTTTCTTCAAGAAACTCAAATAATTTGATTATTTTTTAAAAATCAAGGACATTTTGTGACATTTGGTGAGGTTTTTATTTCTTTGCAACCTTTCTGTGGCGTTTGTTGACACCTTATCACAACTCTTACATGAACCTGGAATCATGTCCAGATTGGTCACCTTCTTCTGTTGCTCCACTCTGGCAGATTGGACTTTCTTCTGTTCTCGTCATCTTCAAGTAAAGTCCAGAACCAAGACAACAGCAACAAATCATGCTCAGCGTTTTCATGGTCCTTGTTTATGTAATGAATGACCAGCAAGAAAGTATTGGTTTTATATCGTTACACATGCATCTGGATTAGGGCTGAACAATTTTGGAAAATATTGTAATTGCAACTTTTGACCTCTATATTGCGATTTAATATGCAATTATTTTTCAATGTCTTCTCGTGTATTTTTCAACAAACACATGCAAATCTGTTTCAGTTGCAGAAAACGCTGGTTACGTACTGTAACCCCAGATTCTATGAGTGTAGGCGCAGCCCTTTAAGGCTATCGCTAGCGATGATCAAAGTCTGATCTTCACAACATGTTTGTGGAAGTGTATCATGGCACGAGCAAAGGCAATTTCTGAGTACCTCAGAAAAAGAGCTGTTGATGCTCAACTTTGCTTTAAATTATGAATAATATCTGACAGGTATTATGCTCATTACATACTGGCGGCCCGTACGTTTGTTTTTACACTCATCAGGCTGGAAAAGGTTACAAAACCATCTCTAAAGAGTTTGGACTCCATCAATCCACAGTCAGACAGGTTGTGTTAGCTAATTTCAGGTGTTTTCAAATAAAATCAAACTTTTCATGAGACTTTCTGCTACTTACAGCTTGTTATGCTCCTTTCAGCCCAATTATGCTAGTTTCAGCAGCTATTTAGCGTTTTTTATGCTAATTTTAAGCAAATTCCACATTTTTTAGCTCGTTTCACGTCGTTCCGCTTCCTTGTGGTAGTTGAAGCTTCTTTCTGTCTTTCACTAGTTTTCAGCCATTTTTGTGCTGATTTAATATTTTTTTAGCTACAGTCATTTCTCAATTTTGTGCTCTTTTCTGCTTGTTTAAAGTTAGCACATGCGTTCTTTCTGCTTTCTTCTGCTAATATAGGCTTGTTCTTCCATTTTAGCTACATTTCAGCATGTTTTTGGCTAATTTCAGCTGTTTCTCAGAAAGTTCTTCTGCAATAAGCGTTCACACTGCATTTTTGCAGGAAATGCAATTTCTCTAGTTACACGATTATAATTAGTTGTGACTGAAGCATCGTACATCCTCATTCACTCAAATAATCTAAGCTTCAGCTCCAGAATCATTCCTGTTTTCCCTCAGTTATCTTTTTGTGAATTTCCATCCCTTCCTCCTCTTCACATCCAGCATCTGTGTCGGGTTCCTCCACCCCCCACTTGCAGTGTCGGGGTGGGTCAGAGAGGGGTGGCGGCACCCACGTCTGGGCATCGAGCGGAGGTGGGGGCGTGACCGCTTGTCTCCTCCGGAGCTCCTAACGAGAGTGTGATTCATGGCACAAGAGGCTCCCGTAGGGACGGGATTAGAGGTGCTGTGTCTAACTGCTCCCCAGAGAGCGTAAAAAGATATTTAATCTGCCCACCATCCAGGAGGCTACTGCCGGGCCTGCTCCTGAGATTCTGACACATCAAAAAAATGCAGTCCTGCAGCACAGTAGATCAATTATATTCCTTTATGTTTGTTCAATAGCACTTTTTAAAGGTTGCTTTAATGCTTTTAGGAAACATAAACACCTTTAGAAGCTTTGATAATCTGTAACCTCCATTGACGGCACAAATGCTTAAATCTGTGGATGTAATTCATCGCAGACTCGGTTTTCTCTCACGTTCTTAATACAAGAGTTGATTTAACCACATTCGGTCATTTGAATCCTTCTGATTGATATTTATCGGTGAAAAGAAATTAAAGCTTTGGACTTGTCTGGAGATAAGAGCAACTGTATAGAAAAATGTTTCAAGGATTCAGGGTTCTTTATCGTCATACACATCACGTGGTACATGAGGTGGAACGAAACAATGTACACAGGGTCCCAGTTACATTCAACAAAAATACAAATTGTAAAGAAAAATGGCAGTAAGGTCCAAGACATGAGCTAAGAAATACACTAAACTAAGAATACACTAAATACACTAAGAATACACTAA